AAAAAAAAAAAATGTTACCAACATCCAGAGGGCACTATGAACCAGGAAAATTTAAGAATCTCTGGAATAATAAAACTTAAGTCCTGAGAAATAGCCTTTAAGCTTAGTAACAAAAAGGTTTTTTATAGTAGAGAAAAAGCAAAATTGGGTGAATTCCAGTGGTTGGGGTAGAAGTGAAAAGGGGGTGTTGAAGAACGTGGGGTTGAGGGACAATAGCTTTGGAGGCACCACTTTTTCATCCATTTTAGGAATAAAAAGGAAGGAAAGGTCAAAGGTGGAGTGAGAGTTCAAGGTTCTGGGATGATAAGGAAGATCAGGGTGAATTTTTATGCAGAGGGAATTTATCCAGTGCAGTGAGAGGGAACGTGAAATGGCGGATGAGCTGGGTCCTATCACGGGGCAAGGGGGCAGGATGGAAGGCAAAGGGAAGAACCATTCTCTTGGAAGGGAGAAGGGAAACCAAGGTAGGGACCTATGATGAGGTGTGTTAGGAATTGTGCTGTCCTTAAAGCTCGGAGAGGCACATTGTCCCTGCTACAGACCTGAGGAAGCTGGGGGGGTAATGAAGAAAAGGCATATAAAGTTCTAAAGATCTGCTGAGGCAGAGAAGAGAGAAGTTGAGACTGCTTCTTCCAGATTCCTCCATCTTCCTCCATCCTCTAGACAATGCTTCTTAAACGCTAAATGCGCATGTGAGTCTCCTGGGAAACTTGCTGAAATGCAGATTCTGATTTAGTTGATCTGAGGTAGGGCCTGAGAATTTGCACGTCTGATGTGCTCCCTGGTGGTACCCATGCCGCTATCCATGGGCCACACTTTGGCTAGCAAGTTCCGGAAAGCCAGGGCATCATTTCAAAGTTCCTAGAATGGGCCCGGTAGTAGGTGCTTGATAAATATTTATTGGATTGTGGGCGGATTGAATAGATAAAGTGTGTGGGTGTTTTGAACAAAGGAGGAGGGAACTAGTTCTGCAAAGGATAAAGAATTAGTGCCACGGCAGGGCTAGGGAGGGCAAAGAGGGCGTCAAGGGGATAGGCAGACAGGGAACTTCCAGGGCCCCTGGAGGGAGTGGTGCTGACAGCTGGGTTAGGGCTGACACCAACTCAAAATTAGAGTCCCAGCTGAGTGGGTAGAAGGACGAAATTCAAGTTTAGACTCTTCACTGCCTGGACGTCGATGTTGTTAAGAATGAAATGAGGGCAGCGGATGGAAGGGAAGCTGGGAACAAGCAGATCCTGGCATAGTCAGGAAAGTAAGAAAACACGCGAGCCAGGTGGAGACTGGAGACCAGAACATGGAAACGGCAGCTTGAGTGTCGCTGAATGCAGAAGGGGTACTGGGAGCCGTAGCAGTGGCCTGAAGAGGAAGGGAGGGGTCAGCAAGGATCCCTTCTCTGCTGACCTCAAGCACCCAAATCCCCAGGGAAGATTATAAGAATACTGATCCCCAGACCTTGCCCCCAAGCATTTGGAGTCCATAGGCCGTGAAATAATGTGTTTTTTAAGAAGTTTCTCCAAGCGATATTTCAGCCAAGGTGAGAAATTTCTGGATAACCCCTGTAACTCCCTGGGTTGAGTGAAAGAGGAGAAAGTCTGGGGAAGGGAAGGTGCTGGCAAGACGGCACTTTTAGCTGGAACAGGGCCCGGTATTAGTAGGGGCTTGGTAAATATTCGCTGGATTATGGGTGGATGAATAGTTTAGATAAAGGGTGCACTCTGGAACAGAGGAGGCTAGAGCAGAGGCTGGCAGTTCCTGCGGGAACTGGCCAGAGACTTCACACACTGGCATTTACGTCTAGACAGTCTGATAGGTGGCATACCACACAGCGATATCTCATGATTTCTTCAATCGTCATAGTCATGATCAGGCAATCTCTCTTAAATGATCAAAGAGGTTTTCTGCTGGCCCATCCTCCAGTTGCTATTTGTTCAGACTCAGTCCGCTTTATAGACGCATCCATCAAATTTCAGGTTCATTTTAAATGAATGTGGATTCTTTATTGTTATTCTCTCATAGCTGTGGAGCCTCATTTGTCTGGGTTTGTACCCGGCCTCTACCACATGCCGGCTCTGTGGCCCTGAGCCTGGGAATCAAGCCACACGTGTCAGTGTTTTTATATGTAACACAAAGTTAACTCTTCATACTGTGCCTGGCACATATAAATAATCAATGAAAGTTTGCTGAATTGTGATTATATTGGGCTTGTCAATATTATAGCTACCACTCACATAAGGCTGGTCAGCTCACTTGCTTTCTGTGTTTTGGGGGTAGAGGCTCTCTGTCTATGGGAAACAAAAGGGGGGCCTTTTGGAGAAGTCCACACCATCTATTTGGTGCTTCTGTAGGAAGGGTTGTATGCAGTTGCTATGCAGCCTGAAGGTTCTGTAGGTTCCTCATGTCGTACAAGGAAGGGAGAGGTTGGCCAGCAAAAGGACCTTAGTGTATTCATTACACATCTACTGAATGTCAGGAATTGTACAGAGTGCCAAGGATTTGGAAACACAGTTGATACTCTGGAAGTTTGGTTTGATAAGAAAACAGATGCAAGACAATGAATAATTGTATTCGTAATGATAAACTTTGAAGTGGTCAAAGTTCGATGGCAAGGCCCGGTGTGGTGGCTCATGCCTGTAATCTAGCACTTCTAGAAGCCAAAGCAGAAGGAATTCTTGAGGCCAGAAATTCAAGACTAGCCTGAAGACCCCATCTGTAAAAACTAATGTATAAAACATCCTCTCAGCGTGTGGTGGCAGGCGCCCATAGTGCCAGCTGCTCTGGAGGCTGAGGCAGGAGGATTGCTTGAGCCCAGATGTTTGAGGTTGTGTAAGCTGGACTGACATCACTGCACTCTACCAATTGCCACAATAGGCCATTTTAATAAGACATAAAGTAGAGGTCGGAGCCTGGGTTCACACTGTTAAAAAGTGGTCTTTGCACTGAGCCAAGTTGTAGTAATTGCCACAACAATCTATGGATTCTGTTTAGATAAAAAGAGGTGCCTGTTACAGCTCTTTTAGAATATGTCTACAGTCTTCACTAGAAGACTCACTCCCTCCCCCCCAAAAATAAAATCAATGAAAAGAAAAGAAAATAGTAAGATGATTTTCATATCATAACACGTAAGCCTACTTGACGTGCTCGATGCCCGTGTTAGAGGCCTGGCAATTTTAAGTATTGCTAAACATCCATCATAGACTTCTCTAACCCTAGGTACGGTTGTGCGGAGTAGGGGTGGGAGGGAGACACTCTGTCTGTGATCATGTAAATCAGCAAAGTGGCGTTCTCTTTCCCCAGCTGATTCAGAAGTTGACAGATGTTGCCGAAGAGTGTCAGAACAATCAGCTGAAGAAGCTCAAGGAGATGTGTGAGAAGTAAGCCGTGTTCCCATCACAATTGGCATGTGCGTCTGAATTCATTAAACACAAATTCCCATTTGATATGCCTTTTCTTCTCTCCTTTTACTTCCATTTTGGCTTCAGAGAGAAGAAGGAATTAAAGAAGAAAATGGATAAAAAGAGGCAAGAGAAGATAACAGAAGCTAAATCCAAAGACAAAAACCAGATGGAAGAGTAAGTGGAAGGACCCCTCGCTCTGCGAACCAGAGTAACAGGTTCAGAGACCCCTCTTAGTATCCCTGCTAGTTAACCTTTCAAAAATCTCTTCCATAAGCTTTTAAATCACGTACTCTTAAACAAAGGGCAGTGCACTAATATCTGAGGCACACCTAGGCTCTTTGGAAGAAGAGTCAGCAAAGAGCTTCCCCAGAGGACAGCTGAACTCTCACTTCCCCAGCTGTCAGGCAGCCTTCCTGGCATTTAGTGAAAACAGAGCCTGTGCCTTGGAGGACCCTGACTTTTGTCCAGAGGCTGGAGGATTGCTCCTTCCTTATAGCAGTAATAAGAATGTTGAGAGTTCTGTAAACTTTCATCTAGGAGATTCCCGCGTGTGTCAATTCCAGAAGAGTTGATGGAATGTTCTATCGGTCATTTGCTTTTAGGGAGAAGACAGAGATGATCCGCTCTTACATCCAGGAGGTGGTACAGTACATCAAGAGGGTATGTGGGGTCACCCCTCTCTCTCCTTGGCAAACCACGTGTGAGCGTTTAGTCAGCTCATCGGGAGCTTCTGGAAGGAAATGCCGTGCCTTGTTGTAGTTCTGTACATTAGCACCCAGCACAGTTGCTGCACGGAGTGGGCCACTCCATCATCGACCTTTCAGCAAGTTGAATGGCAAACCACGGTATAGAGGGGCTCATCTGAGGGTGGACAGTCAAGGGTCATTTCCAAAGTCAGGAGCCCAGAAGCATGTTGTAAATGGGAGTTTTCCCGAAAGACCTTTAGTTGCTCTCAGTGATAGAGAAGATGGCAACTTCAGTCTTTCTTATTGTTTTTATTTGATGTCATGGAAGTGTCAAACACTAATATGTAAGAGTAGTCAGCCCACGGGCCACCAGCCCTGCAGTTCCTGACCAGGGAATCAAATCGAATGTGAGCCACAGGTCTGAAAAGCTTTCAGTGTTTTCTGAAAACGTGCACTTGAACATTTAGATGAAAATGACTTTCCTTATAATTTTGCTTATAGTTGGAAGAGGCGCAAAGCAAACGGCAAGAAAAACTCGTAGAGAAACACAAGGAGATACGCCAGCAGATCCTGGATGAAAACCCCAAGGTAAGTGCATCGGATAATGCTGCACACTCTTAATTATCTCCATTCAGTAAGAAGAAAACCTTCCTCCTTCATGTAACTAGACTCAGAAGTCTCAGATCCATTCTCACATGTGAAACTCACGTATGTTTCTCAGCGAAGGCAAAAATACATGCATAGCAATATTCAGTAATCATTTACCATCAACTGGCGAGCCTTTAAAATCTGCACATGCACAGAACCCACCTCCAGAGATCTGACTTAGACCATTCTGGAGTGTGGCTCAGGCACTGGTGGTTTTAAAGTCTCAGTCTTCCTCCTCTTTTCCCCCCTGATTCAGGAGCACAAGATGGAGACTCAGAGGCCAAACAAACAAGCCTCTTCCTTCGGTTCTAAGTATCTGATGTAATGTTGCAATGCCAGATGCTATCCAGCAGAGGTCGCTCTGCACCAAAATCTCCCTGATTTTTAATCCAACAAAATATTATCCTAAATCAGAAAAAGAAAAGCAGTTCTTTTTTTTTTTTTTTCCTTGTAGGAACAATTTATTAGGGCTTCGCTTTAAAATTATCTTGTGCTCATTGTTTGGTTAAAATTAATTTTCTCATGAACGTTGACTTTAAATGAACTACATATAAATCAGATACTTTCAGGTCAGCAAATAGCAGCTCAGTTTCAGAACATTTCATCCATTTTGACTTAGCACTGAATATGTTTCTGTTTGTGAAAAATGCGTTTTTTCATTTTCCTGCCCTTCCATCTTCACTTTAAAATATCTCCTCTGAAAAGTACTGCCATTCCATAGAAGTATTTTTTGACTCCTCAAAGCTCGAAAGTATTACTTTTATTCCTTATGTAATCCATTCACCATTTACTTCTACATTTCTTGTGGCTAATTCTAAATGTACTTTTGTGGTTATTTCTGCTCTTTTGCTTTCATATATTTGCTGTACAGGACATTTATTTAATATTTTTTATTCCTAAAGATCTTAAGCTCAGCAATATAGGTTCTCAAGTAAGAGTTAATAATTACTTACATATGCTGCTAATTCTTGTGCTTCTCATATAAATATACACTTTAGATATTTTCAGCCACCCTCTGAGGTTGGTTGTACATAAGTAAAGTAGAATAAATTTTAAAATAATTTTAGAAATTGCCATACTTTCCAGTCAGTATTGATCCTTTTAAAATACTCAGATATTTAGAACAAAAGATCTAGTTCAACTGAAATTTAGGAAACATTTTAAATAATCAGGATCAGGCTTGGTGGCCCGTGGCTATAATCCTAGCACTTTGGGAGGCCAAGGTGGGGAGCTTGCTTGAGACCAGGAGTTCAAGATCAGCCTGGGAACAATCAAGATCCCATCTTTGCAAAAAATAGAAAAATTAGCTGGGCCTGGTGCCACACACCTGTGGTCCTGGCTCCTTCGGAGGCTGAGGCAGGACGATTGCTTAAGCCCAGGTGATTGAGGGTGCAGTGAACTATGAGGCCAGTGCACTCTACTCCAGGGGACAGAGCAAGACCCTGTTTAAAGAAGAAAGAAAAGAAAGGAAGGAAGGGAGGGAGGGAGGGAGGAAAAATTAGCCCCAGGTGATATAATTAGATACATACTTTTTTGCTTTTTTGAGACAGAGTCTCATTATGTCATTCTCAGTAGAGTGCCATGGCGTCTCAGCTCAGAGCAAGTCTCTGGGCTTAAGTAAGTCTCTTACCTCAGGCTCCTGAGTAACTGGGACTACAGGTGCCCACAACAACGCCCAGCTATTTTTTTGTTATTGTCATTGTTATTTAGCAGGCCCAGACCAGGCTCAAACCTGCCAGCCTCGGTGGATGTGCCTGGCACCCTACTCACTGAGCTATGGGCCCGGGCCAGATACATACATTGTTTTAATCCATGCTGTATGAATTCAAATTTGTCATTACTTTTTGTACACTGACATAATGTAATTTGCCTATGGTTGATGCCAAGTTTTGTATTGTTCTTTTCACATATTTTATTTTCCTTCATGCTTTTTTTTTTTGGTATGTGTGTATTTTGGTTCAACCATGTTAATTTTTTTACTTATAGATAAAACTCAATCACACATGTGTTTCAATTATATGATTCAGTATCAATAACTCATTCAAAGATTTTCATGTTACTGCTCTAGGTCATCATGATTAAAATGAACTTCTTTAGTTTAAACTAAAACTTTAAGCACCCTTGTATGTCTTCATTAGATATAATGAAACATTTAAAGAACTAATAACTTTTGGCCAATTTATCTATGAGGGTACAATGTAACAAACTCAGCTGCAATTTAACAGAAAATCCAATTAAAACTGGCTTAAACAGTTACAATACTTAGCAAGTGACATTACCGGAAATGTAGAGATGTCAGGGTTTTAGAAATGATTAAATTAGTGGGTTAACAATCTCATCCTTGGGTGTTTTCAGAATTCCCACTGCTGTTGCCTGCCATCCCCAACTATAAACTCACAGTTACGAGATGGCTGCCCTTGCTCCATGAATTGTAACCTTGCATAAAACTATTCAAAGGCAGCACAAGGAACGTCTTCATTTTTTAACCCTTTATACGATTGGGGGAAAACCTTTCTAAATATCCCCAATAGGTTTTCCCACACAGGTTACAATGGTACCACATTCTCATTCTTAAAGCAATCACAAGCAATGAAGGGTAGTTTACATATTCAGCTTAGAGCATCAAGATTCACCCACAGGGGTAGAAGCAGCTCAGCTTCCCTCAATTCCTAGGTCACCAGGTAGTGGAACAAAATCGATGTTTTATCATGAGAGCGACGGAGGGGAAAGGGTGATTGGGTGGGTAATTAACAATACGTGCTATAACCGTATTTACAAGAATGTTTCCATTTCTTCATTTTTGTCCCTTTTGAAAGAGATCTGCAGTGTTTCTATGGAGTTTTAGTGGTTCTAATATCTTCATTTTTTGACGGTAGATAGGTACCATGATGACTTTCCCTTTGCTTTTGTCTGTGAGTTCACTCTTACGTGGATTTACAGGTTGCCCTGGAAAACTATTGGTTTCATCTCAAACCAAAGGACTTATTCTAGGGTATAATTCAAGGTTTTAAAAAATGTTTTGCTTTGGAGCCATGACTTTAATATGAGAAATCCTGACTGTTAACATGGTAGGACATAGTGGCTACCAAAGGGAACTGACAAGGACGAGAAGAAACAATGATGGACTGCAGGGGAAAATATAAAATCGAATCTGAGGCACATGGGGAAGGGCCAGAGCACAGGACAGCAAATGCGGGCAAAGGGCTCCTTGGGAAAGGCCAGTCCGGCATAGCAGTCACTGCTGCCTCTGTAATGGGACTTGCACCAGAAATAGACTAGTGCTGTCTGTGAAATAATCCCCATTCATATCCAGTATCAGAACAGCCTTTGAAGCTTGAATAGATATATATGAACGCAAATTAGCAAAAGCAGAAAAAAAAAATAAAAGGAGGAACAGGGCAAGGAAATGAGATTGATCAATATTCTGTATAGAACAGGCTTATGAGTCAGTCCCATTCAGTCAGAAAGATGAGAGGGCAGCGTGATTTTATGATGTCTAGAAATTTAGGAACTGTTCCATTCCTGAGTTTTGGATGAGGAATTTGAGCTGACATTACAGCGAGTAATATTAAAGACAACGGCCGCCTTCTTAAGAGGAAAGCATGCCGACCTCCACCACGGGTTACTCAGGAGAACAGATACTTCCTTCCTCCGGCGCTTTGCAGACGGATAAAGTTTTCTAGCTAGACACTGAGCTAATCTTTCACTGGCAGCATAACCCTAGGCTGTGTAACATCAGACTTTTTTCCTGTTCTTCCATTTCTTTCACTTTATTGCTGAATGTAATAAGTTACTTCCTCTTCATCCACTTTCTAACTAATGTACTAATGTGTCTGATGTTCCCGGTCTCCTTCTTAGCAGGGAGGAAACTCTTTTCACATTGCTATGTTCTCACAATGTTATGACACATATTTTGAGTGATTTGGAAGCCCGACCAACTATACTCGTAATCTGCATAATTTTCTAAGTTTGTGGCAAACAGATAACTCCTTTCAAAGTAGCAGATGGATATAAAAAAATTCTTCTAACAAAAGAAATTTCAAAAGCCAGTTGCTGAAAACCAATAGTTTTATAGTGACCGACATTCTTCTGGCTAGATTTAGAGCAAGCTATGTATTCAAGGTGTGGATTTGCTAACCCTTTACTCAACATGTGATCTGGAAGGACCAACTTAATTTCTTAGCATTTTTTACCATCCTGTGCAGAGCAGCTGTGGGAGAAGATGCCTCAATCAACATCAGGCTAAAAACCCATTTCATTTCCACAAGTGGGCCAGGATCTTCAGTTTTTGTGGTCTGTGCTTGGTAGAATACCAAATGCGGCCAGCCACGACGTGGAAGTTTATTTTAGACTACCCCACTTTGTGACATCTACCAGGCCCCTTTCATATGTGGAGTTTATACTTTTCCCATTAGAAAGAGATTCAAGAATCTATTCTTGTAAGCAATTTTTTAGGGCTTTGGGGAAAATGAGAATCGATGCTCCCTAGGGGCAACATATATGATAGATAAATATGTTGGACCTCAATTTTGATATAAAATTATATTGTACATTGCAATACATAAGTCCCACTGGAATATTGTTATAAACAGCAATGGACACTCTTAAAAGAGCCTATGTGGGTTCTTTTCAGGAGAATTCTAAATTCTAGAGAAATGTCCAACTATGTGTTTCCCTGCAGTCAGCTACTTGATTCAGACCTTAAGTGTGTGCAGTTTTTAGATGGTTTCAGATATGTTGGTAGCTGTAGAATTGTTCTTTTTTTTATTTCTTTTTTTTTTTTGAGACAGAGTCTCACTATGTCACCCTTGGTAGAGTACAGTGCATCATAGCTCATCATAGCAACCTCAAACTCTTGGGCTCAAGCGATTCTCTTGCCTCAGCCTTCCAAGTAGCTGGGAGTACAGGTGCCTGCCACAAGGCCTGGCAATGTTTTTCAT